CGCCACCGGGTTCGTCAAGCAGATAACGGCAGTAGTAGAATCCTCTTCACCTTGAAGTCTTCTTGTCGAGGGCCCTTCGTGGCTTTTTAACATTCGTAGGGCAGCAAACTCGCCTGCTTGTGTGCAGGTGACTAGGGCGCAGCTGGCTACAGGCTTCGGCTGAGGGTTATAGAGGGCCACAAAGGAAATGGCTTTTTCGGTGTACACCGCAGGGTTTTCGGGAGCTGTGTACGTTGGGGGTAGCTCATTTTTGAAGAGTGAAAATCCGTCCTTCCAGTACTGCACTGCCGCCTTGCAGTCTTTTCCGTTGGGGTGGTAAGCGAATGTTCCCTTTAACTGCTGAGCCTCAGTACCTTCGCTGTCGGCCTTCAAATAATGGAGTGAACAACAAAATGAAAGTTTCACCTCTTGCTACATGCAATTCAGGTGCAAGCAAGGTGCACATTGTCTAGATGTGCTCGTGGGAGGGCTTACGCTAATAATTTCTTGGCAGATTTCGTTCCACAAACTTTCAGCTGTTCTTCCTGTTTCCTGACCAGGGTGTTCTGGCAGTACTTGTCCATCAACAGTTGCGTTCCCAAACGCAGCGAGTCCCGCAGCTTCTCTCACCTCGTTCATCTCGGCGAAGCAATCAAGCCTTACTGCGGAGAAAATTCGACGCACATACACGAATACTATGGATAAATCTATTTCTTAGGCTCAAATATCAAATTATTTGCGTCAAATCTACGAAAAGACAGGACCAATGCGCTTACCTGCTGTTCCAGTTACGGCAGCATTTACTGCCTGGTGTCCACAGAACACGGACACAAAAATGATTAGAACACAGACCACGCGACACATATTTACTTTTTAAAAATGCTAGACAAGACAAAATGGAGAAACGAATTCTGAAGGGACTTGGCGAACTCTGTTTTTCCCTCAAACAGATGAGCGCGGAGGGGACTATCGTGGGTCGGGTTCGCGTGGCTGGCCTTATCCTTCGTGTCTTTCTTTTCTCCTCCATCCCCCTTTACACGGCAAGTTGCGCTAAGTACAATAATATCCAATTTTGTTTCAAGCATGCTACACGTGTTTTTTTACACGTTCGCAATTTCCCAGTGGCGAGCTAGAGGTCACTGCCTAGCCCGTAAAGATCTACACCAGCGAGGACAATCTTTCACGGCAGCTGGTTTAAATTCACGTCCAGATATATTCGCTTACAACATATCGTAAAACGCATCCACTGGTCTGACGAAAAGAGAAGGAATATGAGAACAGACAAAGAAATCGCTTACCGAGCATTTTTCCCTTTTAGTCCCGGTAATAGCACCATGGATATCCAATGCGCGAAACGGCTGAGGGAGGACTTGCTACCATCTCCCCTCACACTAGCGCCCAGGATATGCTCGCTGTGCGATGGGCGGCCCTGAGTTCATTTATGAGCAAGGGCCATACACGCTCCGTTATGGGGTACCCGAAGGGAAAGCGTGAAATAGCACAGACGAGTTAGTAGGTAAGCGATGATGATGTAGGAATCCATGCTAAGGAGACAAGACATACTAACAATGGAGATGAAAAGACTATAGATGGGATCATTCCCCTTCGGATGGGAATTGTAACACCATGGCACCTTGCTGCGTGACATATCCGGCAGGATATTTTTTCACAGTGTTAAATTCAAAATACCTGCAATAATTTCCATTCGTAAGCTTCGCTGACTAGTAAGGACGCTAAAACCTGCCATGAAAGAAGCCAGCCCACTTGGACTGACCCAGTCTGCGGATATTCAACCTGTCCAAACAGGCAGCCATGGTATAGAACACCACTAGATCATCCAGTCAGCTACATGCCAGGACGCAGGCAGAGTGTTGAAGTAAGACCGAAAATAGTTAGCCTTAGTAGGCAAGCATATGTCTGGAAAATATCAAAAATGGAGCCTGGCAGCACATGGCGTGCATCGCCGGCACCTGCATGTTACATCCCTATGTAGGCACTATAAAAATGTTCATCTTCAGCACTCTCTAACATAAAACAATGGGACATCGGGAGGCATATTTTGATTTTCCGTGCTGAATTATTTTTTTGGATAAAAAAAGGCGTTGACATGCCAATTCAGTGCCCTCACACTGCACAGAGACCGACAGCTTAAAAAAGCGCGTAGGCAAAAAGCATCATTATGAAACCAACTGCCAATGATGGCCTGACTGGCGAAACCCCGTTGCTCTCTTCAGTACCAACTATAGCTTGGACAATCTTCTGCCACACCTCTTCCCTGCGCATTCAGGCACAGCACAATGCACTGATCACTTACCTCCATGAGAGGAAATGTTACATGCAAAAGACACAGTCATGCTATGTTTCCGATGCACTGTGGGTCCTATGCAGCCAAGTCTGTGGCTTTGGCCTATGCTCCTACTCGAATGGCTTTTGTCCATTCGAGAGCGCCACCGGGTTCGTCAAGCAGATAACGGCAGTAGTAGAATCCTCTTCACCTTGAAGTCTTCTTGTCGAGAGCCCTTCGTGGCTTTTTAACATTCGTGGGGCAGCAAACGCGCCTCCTTGTGTGCAGGTGACTAGGGCACAGCTGGCTACAGGCTTCGGCTGAGGGTTATAGAGGGCCACAAAGGAAATGGCTTTTTCAGTGTACACCGCAGGGTTTTCTGGCTCTGTGTACGTTGGGGGCAGCTCGTTGTTGAAGAGTGAAAATCCGTCCTTCCAGTACTGCACTGCCGCCTTGCAGTCTTTTCCGTTGGGATGGTAAGCGAATGTTCCCTCTAACTCCTGAGCTTCAGTACCGTCGCTATCAGCCTTCAGTTAATTAAATGAAGAACAAAACGAAAGTTGCACCTCTTGCTACATGCAACTCAGAATACAAGCAAGGTGCTCATTGTCTACGTGTGCTCGTGGCATGACTTACGCTTGTTATTTCTTGGCAGATTTCGTTCCACAAAGCTGCAGCTGTTCTTATTTCTTCTTGAGAAGGGTGTTCTGGCAGTACTTGTCCACTAGCAGTTGCGTTCCCAAACGCAGCCAGTCCCGCAGCTTCCCTCACCTCGTTCATCTCGGCCAAGCAATCAAGTCTTACTGCAGAGAAAATTTGCCGCACATGCACAACACATGTGATGAAATCTCTTGCTCAGGTTTCAAATATCAAACTTTTCGGGGCAAATCTACGAAGAGACAGGACTTATGGGCTCACCTGCTGTTCCAGTTACGGCAGCACTTACTGCCTCGTGTCCATAGAACACGGACACAAGAATGATTGGAACAGGGAAGAGGCGAAACATATTTACTTTAAAAAAATGCTAGACAAGACAAAATGGAGAAACGAATTCTGAAGGGACTTGGCGAACTCTGTTTTTCCCTCAAACAGATGAGCGCGGAGGGGACTATCGTGGGTCGGGTTTGCGTGGCTGCCCTTGTCCTTCGTGTCTTTCTTTTATCCTCCATCCCTCTTGACACGGCAAGCTGCTCTAAGTACAATAACATCCAGTTCTGTTTCAAGCATGTTTCACGTGTTTTTTCACGTTCGCAATTTCCCAGGGCGAGCTAGAGGTCACTGCCTAGCCCGTAAAGATCTGCACCAACGAGGACACCGCTTCACTGCAACAAGTTTAAATTCATGCCCAGGCATTAGTTCGGTACAACATATCTTAAAACGTGTCCACCCATTTGACGAAAACAGAAAAAATACGATGACAAACAAAGATATTGTTGATTGGCCTTTCTTCCCGTTAATTAAGGTGGTAACACCATGGGTACTCAATGCGCTAGACAGCTGAGACAGCATTTGCTACCATCCTCATACTAGCGCCCAGCATTTGCTCGCTATTCCATGGGCCACCCTGAGTTCATTTGTGTACGAGGCCCATTTAGGCTGCATTATGGGGCGTCCACGATGTAGGAATGATTGGTAAGAAGGCAAAAAATAGTAGCGCCGGAGATCAAGAAATTATAGATCGGGTGGTTCCCATTCGACTAGAGACTGTAACACCATGAAACCTCGCCATGGGACACACCCGAGAAAGGATATTTCTCCATAGCACTATGTAGGATGTAGGCAGACTCTTGAAGTTAGACCGTAAATAGCCTTAGTAGGCATGCATAACTCTGGGAAACATCAAAAATGGAAACTGGCAGAACTTGGCGTGCATCGCCGGCACCTGCTCTTTATATCCCACGCATTATAAAAAGGTTCATCTTCATCACTCTCTAACGTAAAACGATGGAACATTGCGATATGTTTTCTGATTTTCCATGCTGGATTATTTTTTTGGGGGATGAAACGGGCATTGACACGCCAATTCAGTGCCCCCGAACTGCACAGAGGCTGATAGTTTAAAAAACCGAGTAGGCAAAAAGCAACATTACTAACCCAAGCGCCAATGGCGGCTTGACGGGGGGAATTCCGTTGCTCTCCTGAGTACCAACTATAGCTTGAACAATCTTCTGCCACACATCTTCCCTGCACATCCAGACACAGCACAATGCATTGATCATTTACCTCCATGAGGAAATATTACGCACAAAGCTATGTTTCCGACTCATTTTGGGTCCTATTCAGTTGAGTCCGTAGTCCTGGTTAGCCCCTACTTGAATGGCGGCTGTCCCTCCGTAAGTGCCTCCGGGTTCGTTAAGCAGATAACGGCAGTAGTAGTTTCCTGTGCAGCTTGAAGCCTTCTTGTTGAGCGCCCATTTTGGTTTTTTAAGGCCTCTGGGGAAGCAAAGGTACCTCCTTTCGTGCACGTGACAAAGGCGCAGCTGGCTAGAGGACTCGACTGAGGGTTATAGAGGGCGACAAAGGAAACGGCTTTGTCAGTGTACACTGTGGGAGTACTAGATTGTGTGTACTTTGGCGGCAATTCGTTCTTGAAGAGCGAAAACCCGTCCTTCCAGTACTGCACCGCCGCCTTGCAGTCCTTGTTGCCGGGGTAGTAGGCAAACGTTCCCTGTAACTGCTGAGCTTCAGTGCTTTCGACTTCACCCTTCAGATAATTGAATGAACAACAAAGCAAAAGTGGCATTTCTTGCCACGTGCAACTTAGAATGCAAACAAGCTACTCACTGTCTAGGTGTGCTCGTCGCATGACTTACACCCGTCATTTTTTGGCAGATTTCGGCCCACAAATCTTCAGCTGTTATTGCTCTTTCCTGAACAGGGTGTTCTGGCAGTACTTGTTCATTAGCAGTTGCATTCCCAAACGCAGCGAGTCCCGCAGCTTCCCTCACCGCGTTCATCTCGGCCAAGCAATCAAGCCTTACTGCGGGGAAAATTCGACCCACTTACAGGAATATTGTGACACAATCTATATTCAAACTCAAATATCAAACTGTTTACGGCAACTCTAAGACAAGACAGGACTTATGGGCTTACCTGCTGTTCCGGTTACGGTAGCGCTCAGTGCCTCGTGTCCACAGAACACGGACACACAAATGATTGGAACAAAGACGAGGCGAAACATATTCGTTTTGAAAAAAGCCAGAAAAGACAAAATAGGGAAACAAATTCTGGTGGGATTAAGCGAACTCTGTTTTTTTGTCAAACAGATCAGCTCGAAGGGGACAATCGTGGGTCGGGTTCGCGTGGCTGCCCTTGTCCTTCGTGTCTTCCTTTTCTCCTCCATCTCCCTCTGCACTGCATGTTGCGCTAAGTACACTAATATCCAGTATCGTTTCAAGCCTGTTACACTTGCTTTTTTCACGTTTGTAACTTCCGCAGGGCGCGCTAGAGGTCACTGCATAACATGTAACGATATACACCAACGAGGACAATCTTTTACGGGAGTCGGCTTAAATTCATGTCCAGACATATGCTTGGTACAACATATCATAAAACGCACCCACTGGTCTGACTAAAAGAAAAAGACTGTGAGAACAGGCAAAGAAAACATTCATCGAGCATTTTCCCCTTCAGATTAAGGTGTTAACATCATTGATATTCAATGCGCAAAACACCTGAGACAGAATTTGCTACCCTCTTCCGTCACATCAGCGCCCAGGATATGCTCGCTGTGCCATGGGCCGCCTCGAGTTCATTTTCGTGTGAGGCCCGTCCAGGTTGCATTGTGGGGTACCGAAAGAGAAAGCGTGGAATAGCGCTGGCGAATTAGTAGGTGGGCGGCCGATAATGCAGGAGTGCATGCTAAGAAGGCAAAAAGTAGTAACACCGGAGATGAAGAAGCTGTTGATCGGGTCGCTCCCGTTCAAATAGGGATTGTACCACTATGGCATCTCGCTATGGGACACATCCGAGAGTCCTAACAAGCAGCCACGGTATAGAACACCACTAGAATATCGAGCCGGCTACATACACTAGGACGCAGGCAGAGTGTTGAAGTAAGACCGAAAATAGTTAGCCTTAGTAGGCATGCATATGTCTGGAAAATATCAAAAATGGAGTCTGGCAGCAAATGGCGTGCATCGCCGGCACCTGCTCGATATATCCCTATGGAGGCACTATAAAAAGGTTCATCTTCATCACTCCCTAATATAAAACGATAAAACATTGGGAGATATTCTTTGATTTTCCGTGCTGGATCATTTTTCGAATAAAAAAGGCATTGGCATGCCCATTCAGTGCCCGCACTCTGCACAGAGGCTGGCAGCTTAAAAAAGACCGTAGGCGAAAAACATCATTATGAAGCCAACTGCCAATGACGGCCTGACTGGAGAAACTCCGTTGCTCTCCTCAGTACCAACTATAGCTTGAACAATCTTCTGCCACACCTCTTCCCTGCAAATCCAGACACAAAACAATGCACCACTAAGCTCTATGCGAGAAAATTTTGCGTACAAAAGTCACTGTCATTCTAGGTTTCGGATGCACTTTGGGTCCTATTGAGCCGAATCCGTAGTCTTGGGGTGTGCTCCTACTTAAATGGCGCTTGTCCATTCGTCAGTGCCTCCGGGTTCGTTAAGCAGACAACGGCTGTAGTGACAGTAGGAGAATCCTCTTCACCTTGAAGCCTTCTTGTTGAGCGCTCATCGTGACTTTCTAACATCTGTGGGGTGGCAAATGAACCTCGTTCTGTGCAGGTGACGAAGGCGCAGCTGGCTACAGGACTCGACTGAGGGTTGTAGAGAGCGACAAAGGAAACGGCTTTGTCGGTGTACACTGAAGGGGTATTCGACGTTGTGTACGTTGGAGGCAGCTGGTTTTTGAAGAGCGAAAACCCATCCTTCCAGTACTGCACTGCCGCCTTGCAGTCCTTATTGCCGGGGTAGTAGGCGAACGTTCCCTGTAGCTTTTTGGCTTCAGTACCATCGCTGTCACCCTTCGTGTAAATGAATAAACAATCAAACAAACGTAGCATCTCTTCTACAAGCACCTCAGAGCACAAACAAGATACTCGTTGTCTATGTGTGATTGCGGCACAACTTACCCCTGTTATTTCTACGCAGATTTCGTTCCACAAAGTTGCAGCTACTATCGTATTTGTCCGGACAGAGGGTTCCGGCAGTACTTGTCCATTAGCAGTTGCGTTCCCAAACGCAGCAAGTCCCGCAGCTTCCCTCACCTCGTTCATCTCGGCCAAGCAATCAAGGCTTACTGCAGAGAAAATTCGAGGCACATACTCGAACACCGTGACGTAATATACTGCCCAAGCCCAAATATCAAACTGTTCGGGTCAAATCTACGAAAAGACAGGATTAATGAGCTTACCTGCCGTCCCAGTTACGGCAGCCCTTACCGCCTCATGTCCACAGAACACGGACACAAAAATGATTGGGACAGAGACGAGGCGAAACATATTTAGTACTTAAAAAGACGCCAGACAAGACAAAACGGAGGAACAAATTCTGGAGGGGCCTGGCGAACTCTGTTTTTCTGTCAAATGAATGAGCGCGAAGGAGACAATCGTGGGTCGGGTTTGCGTGGCTGCCCTTGTCCTGGTGTCTTTCTTTTCTCCTCAATCTTCCTCTACACGGCAAATTGCGCTAAGTACAATGGTATTAAGTTTTGTTTCAAGCATGTTACATGTGCTTTTTTAACGTTCGTCACATCCGCAGGGCGGGCTAGCGGTCACTGCCGAACCCGTAAAGATCTACACCGGCGAGGACACAGTTTCACCGTGACTGGTTTAAATTCATGCCCAGACAACTGTTAGATACAACATATAGTAAAACACGTCCACTGGTCTGATGAAAAGCGAAAGAATAAAACGACAGACAAAGAAATTGTTGATTGGCGTTTCTTCCACGGGTGGTAACACCATGGACATTCAATGCACGAGGCAGCAGAGGCAGGATTTGCTACTCTCTTCCCTCACACTAGCTCCCAGGATATGCTCGCTGTGCGGTGGATGGGCTGCCTTGAGTTCATTTATGGGTGGGGTCCATCTACGCTGCATTATGTGGTGTGGACCCGAAGCGAAAGCGTGGAGTGGCACTAGTGAATTAGGAGTTGAGCGATCGATAACGTAGGACTATATGCTAAGAAAACGAGAAATTGCAACACCAGAGATGGAAAAACTACTGAACGAGTCGTTCTCCTTCGAATAGGTATTGAAACACCTTGGCACCTCTCTACGGGACACAGCCGAGACAGGATACCTCTCCAAGGCGTTACATCCAAAATGCCTGCAATCATTTTCATTTGTGCATTTTTCTGACTAGTAAGGAAGCAAAAAAGTACCATGAAAGAAGCCTGCCCATTTGAAGTGACCCGGCCTGAGGACGTTCAACCTGTCCAAACAGGTAGCCACGGTATAGAACACAACGAAATCACCGAGACGGCTACACACACTAGGACGCAGGCAGAGTGTTGAAGTTAGACGGAAAATAGTTAGCCTTAGTAGACAAGCATATGTCTGGAAAATATCAAAAATGGAAACTGGCAGCACATGGCATGCATTGCCGGCACCTGCTCGTTACATCCCTATGCAGGCACTACAAAAAGCTTCATCTTCATCACTCTTTAGCATAAAACGATGAAACATTGGGAGATATTCTTCGATTTTCCGTTCTGGATCATTCTTTTAGACAAAAAAGGCATTGGCATGTCCATTCAATGCCCTCACACTGCAAACAGTCTGAGAGTTTAAAAAAGCGCGTAGGCAAAAAGCATCAATATGAACCCAACTGCCAATGACGGCCTGACTGGCGAAGCCCCGTTGCTCTCCTGATCACCAACTATAGCTTGAACAATCTTTTGCCACACCTCTTCGCTGCAAATCCAGACACAAAACAATGCATCACTTAGCTCTATGTGAGAAAATGTTACATACGAAAGACTCAGTCATTGTATTTTTTCGATGCACTTTGGGTTCTATTCAGCCGAATCCGTAGTCTTGCGGTGCTCTTACTTGAACGGCGCTTTTCCATCCGTCAGTGCCTTAGGGTTCGTCAGACAGATAACGGCAGTAGTGACAGTAGTAGGATCCTCTTCACCTTGAAGTCTTCTTGTTGAGCGCCCATCGTGAATTTCTAACATCTGTGGAGTGGCAAATGAATCTCCTTCTGTGCAGGTGACGGAGGCGCAGCTGGCTAGAGGACTCGACTGAGGGTTGTAGAGGGCGACAAAGGAAACGGCTCTGTCGGTGTATACTCCAGTACTAGACGCTGTGTACGTTGGAGGCAGCTGGTTTTTGAAGAGCGAAAACCCTTCCTTCCAGTACTGCACCGCCGCCTTGCAGTCTTTTCCGTTGGGGTAGTAGGCGAACGTTCCCTGTAACTTTTTGGCTTCAGTGCCTCCAGTTTCACCCTTCGCATAATTGAATGAACAACAAGGCAAAAGTGGCACTTCTTGTTGCATGCATCTCAGAGTGCAAGCAAAATGCACATTGTCTAAGTGTGCTCGTGGCATGACTTACACCCGTCATTTTTTTGCAGATTTCGGTCCATAAAGTTGCAGCTTCTATCGCTTTTGCTGGAGGAGTGGGTTCCGGCAGCACTTGTTCTTCAGCGGTTGCATTCCCAAAGGCAGCGAGTCCCGCGGCTTCCCTCAGCTCGTTCATCTCGGCCAAGCAATCAAGCCTTACTGCGGGGAAAATTCGACGCACAAACACGAAGAATGTGACGATATCTATTGCCCAGGCTCAAATATCAAACTGTTTGCGGCAACTCTACGAAAAGACAGGACCAATGGGCCTACCTGCTGTTCCAGTTACGGCAGCACTAACTGCCTCGTGTCCATAGAACACGGAAACAAAAATGATTGGAACAGACACGAGGCGAAACATATTTAATTTTAAAAAAAAGCAAACAAGATAAAATAGAGAAACAAATTCTGGAGGGGCTTGGCGAACTCTGTTTTTCTGTCAAACAGATGAGCGCGAAGGGGACTATCGTGGGTCGGGTTTGCGTGGCTGCCCTTGTCCTTCGTGTCTTTCTTTTCTCCTCCATCTCCCTCTACACGCGAAGTACAATAACATCAAGTTTTGTTTCAAGCTTGTTACACGTGCTTTTTTCACGTTCGCAATTTCCGCAGGGTGGGCTAGAGGTCACTGCCTAGCCCGTAAAGATCTACACTGGCGAGAACACCGCTTCACGGTGACTGGCTTAAACTCACGCCCAGGCATTTGTTCGGTACAACATATCTTTGAACGCATCCACTGGTCTGACGAAAAGAGAAAGAATATGAGAACATACAAAGAAGTCAGTTGTCGAGCTTCCTCCCCTTTAAATTACGATTCTAACACCATGGATATTCAATGCGATAGAATTTGCTACCCTCTTCCGTCACACTAGCGTCCAGGATCTGCTCGCTGTGCCATGCTAGGAAAGGAGAAAAAATACCACCGGAGATGGAAAAATTATAGATCGGGTCGTTCCCCTTCAAATGCGAGTTGTAACAGCATGGCACCTCGCTGCCAGACACAGCCCAGACGGGATATTTCTTCACGGCATTAAATCGAAAATACTTGCGATAATTTTCATTTGTATGTTTCCCTGACTGGTAAGGACGCGAAAAAGTAACATGAAGGAAGCCCATACATTTAAAGTGACCTAGCGTGAGTGCGCTCAACCTGCTGTAACAGGGAGCCACAGTATGCATCACCACTAGATCATCGACACCGCTACACACACTAGGACGTAGGCAGAATGTTGAAGTTAGACCGAAAACACTTAGCCTTAGTAGGCATGCATATGTCTGGAAAATATCAAAAATGGAACTCTTAGCAACACAAGGCGTGAATCGCGAACGCATGCTCGTGATACCCCTGTAGAGAGGCTATAAAAAGCTTCATCTTCATCACCCTTCGATGCAAACGACAAAACATTAAAAGAAACGTCCTGGGTTCACGTGCTGGATTATTTTTTTGGATAAAAAAGGCGTCGACATGCCAATTCAGTGCCCTCACGCTGCAAACAGTCTGAGAGATTAAAAAAGCCCGGTGGCAAAGAGCATCAGTATGAACCCAACTGCCAATGACGGCCTGACTGGAGAAACTCCGTTGCTCTCCTCAGTACCAACTAAAGCTTGAACAATCTTCTGCCACACCTCTTCCCTGCAAATCCAGACGCAGCACAATGCATTGATCATTTACTTTCATGAGAAAATATTACGTACAGCTCTATGTTTCCAATGCACTTTGGGTCCTATTCAGCCGAGTCCGTAGTCTTGCGGTGCTCTTACTTGAATGGCGCTTCTCCATCCGTCAGTGCCTTAGGGTTCGTCAGACAGATAACGGCAGTCCTAGCAGTAGTAGGATCCTCTTCACCTTGAAGTCTTCTTGTTGAGCTCCCATCATGGCTTTTTAACACGTCTGTGGCAGCAAACGCAGCTGCTTCTGTGCAGGTAACGAGGGCGCAGCTGGCTAGAGGACTCGACTGAGGGTTGTAGAGAGCGACAAAGGAAACGGCTCTGTCGCTGTACACCTCAGGAGTATCCGACGTTGTGTACGTTGGAGGCAGCTCGTTTTTGAAGAGAGAAAACCCTTCCTTCCAGTACTGCACCGCCGCCTTGCAGTCTTTTCCGTCGGGGTAGTAGGCGAACGTTCCCTGTAGCTTTTTGGCTTCGGTGCTTTGGACTTCAGTCTTCAGACAATTAAATACACAACAAAACAAGAGTGGCACTTCTTGTTACATGCATCTCAGAGTGCAACCAAGATGCTCATTGTCTAGGTGTGCTTGTGGCATGACTTACACCCGCCATTTTTTTGCAGATTTCGGTCCACAAAGTTGCAGCGGTTATCGCTCTTGTCTGAGCAGAGTGCTCCGGCAGCACTTGTTCTTCAATAGTTGCGTTCCCAAACGGTGCGAGCCCCGCAGCTTCCCTCACCTCGTTCATGTCCGCGAAGCAATCAAGCCTTACTGTGGAGACAAATCAAATCACATGCAGGAATACTGTGACGATAGCTCTTGCCCAGACCCAAATACCAAACCGTTTGCGTCAAATCTAGGAAAAGACAGGACTTATGCACTCACCTGCTGTTCCGGTTACGGCAGCACTTACTGCCTCGTGTCCATAGAACACGGACACAAAAATGGTTGAAAAAGAGACGAGGCGAAACATATTTACTTTTGAAAAAAGCCAGAGAAGACAAAATACAGAAACAAATTCTGGAGGGACTTGGCGAACTCTGTTTTTCCGTCAAACAGATGAGTGCGAAGGGGACAATCGTGGGCCGGCTCGCGTGGCCGCCTTTGCCGTTCGTGTCTTCCTTTTCTCCTCCATCTCCCTTTGCACGACAAGTTGCGACGATCAAAATACTATCTAGTATTGTTTCAAGCGTGTTATCAGCAATGTTTTGGCGTTCGTAATATCCGCAGGGCGCGCTAGAGGTTATTGCCTAACCTGTAGAGATCTACACCAACGAGAGCACCGTTTCACTGCAAACTGGCTTAAATTCATGCCCAGACAAATCTTCAATACAACATATCGTAAAACGGATTCACTGGTCTGACGAAAAGAGAAGGAATACGAGGATAAAAAAAGAAATTGTTGATATGCCATTCAGGTGGTAACACCCTGCATATTCAATGCGCTAGACAGCTGAGACAAGATTTGTTACCAGCCTCACACTAACGCCCAGGATATGCTCGCTGTGCCATGGGCCGCCCTGAGTTCATTTATGGTTGAGGCCCATTTAAGCTGCATTATGGGGCACCCGGAGGGAAAGCGTGGAATAGCACTGGTGAATTAGCAGGTGAGCCATCGATGATGTATGATTATATCCTACTCATCAAAAGCTAGCAAAAACTTTGAGAAGTGAAGGAGTGGACAGGAGTAGAGCTTCCACTAGCGATTACGGGAACGCCGCCGTCACCTACCTAACGAACGCAGCACCCACTAGAGACATTAAATCCACCGGTTTCACCTTCAATAGCTATGAACCGTGAAAGTAAACATTACTAGAAGTGCAATTGTGGCCGGATCTAAAAGATGCATGACGCAATGGCTGCAAAGACACGTTCTGTCCCGAGGTGCAGATCCCTGCTATGCAGCTTTCCTCTGCAAGCAGTACTCGGGTTATTGTGAGCCACTTGCATAAGAGTGAACAATAACGCCACTTGACTGATTTTCTAAATCCAAAAGGCTCAACAAAACCTTAGTGAGACCCACTGAGAGAGCGGCTGACTTTTTTTTCGGATGTAAGCGTATGTGCGCTGTGATCGTCGCAAGGTGCTGTTCTAGTTTGCAGTCAGTAATGTACTCGTGAAGACTCTTGCCCGCATGTATCCCACCAGAACCTTTTCAGTTTACTATCAAATAAAAATCTCATCCTTTGGATACAAAATGTGCCATTACAGTGAGACAGAGGGCTGAAGTGACCGTGGCTGTTGGATAGCAAAACCTGCGTCCGCTGGCAGTGGTCGGCCCTGTGCCGGGATTGTAGAGAAGCTGCACGAGTTCCTGACCGAAAAATCAAATGTATTTGTACCCAACTCAATTATTTTGCAATTCACGAAAGTGTATGCTGGCCCATTAATCGTGCTTAGCCTGCACTGCGTAGCACTGGTGCTCTCGTGTTGCATCATCGGTGTTTGGCTGATCTAAGCAGCTCCACGAGCCAGCACTACAGTTTGGCCTCAGTTTGAAACAGGAGAAATCCAAGAAACCTAATTTTCTCACGAGACTGTGTGAAGAGAAATAGGACGAAAAGGAATCGCACCACTGCAGCAGCCACAAGCTGGCAAAGCCGGCACCTGCCCCCATGCGCGTGCCTCGGCCGCACATTTCCTATTTTGAGAACTAAAAAGGCGAAACATTGTACAACATACAACCTATGATCCACTAGTGCCTGCCTCTAGGATATTTCAACTCGGTTGGTAGGCAGAGTCGGGCAACAAGCCTGCTTGCCACGGTGTAATCTGCAGCGTTTCGTGACTTGCCAGTGGCTGCAGTGAGGGCTGCGGCTCGAGAACAGTGCCTACCGGCAATCCCGCTGCAAAATGGTGCACTATTTGCTACAGGAAGCACTACTTCTAGCAAAGGGCTGGGAAAGCCCTGGGCTTCCGGCCTCAACGGCGCGGCCGCAAGGCTGGCGCGGAAACCCAGCGGGGCAGCGGCACTTTGCGCAGAAAAAGCCTAAAGCAGAGTCTGTGCAGGCCTTGCGCGGCCTCCGCTTTTGGAAAGCCGCGCCAAATGTCAGTGGTGAGTTGCTTTTGGGGGGCCGGGGGGCGGCCTGCGCCGGATGAGGGCGTCGATGCTGCAGAACTGCACCAAGTCCGTGCACATGGGCCAGGCAAAGGCCACCATGAAGCGGCGCAAGGCCGCGTTGTCCCTGTGGAGCAGCCAGAGGGGCAGCGCGACGAGGGGGGCGAGGGGAGCGGCCAGGAGGGTCAGCAGCAGCAGCGTGGCGAGTTGTGCTGCAGCGACGCAGGCCAGCAGCACCAGCAGCTGCTGCAGGTACTTGCCCCAGTGCACGCCCCACAGCGCTGCAGCGCGCCGCCGCGGGCCAGCCACCTGCAGCGGGGCTGCTGCGCTGCTGCTGCTGCTGCTGCTGCTGCTGCTGCGGCTTACAACTTGCAACTGACAAGCCTCAGAGTCCTCCCAAAAGCCAGTTTCTTCTTCCAAGTACTCTCCCTGTCTGTAGCCGAAGAGGCTCTCAGCCTGCCGCAGCAGAAACTTGAGCGTGAAGAGCCACAGCAGCTCCTCTATGAGCAGCGCTGCAGCGTACTGGTCGCAGGTGTCCGCAAAGGCCCCCTGCTGCTGCTGCTGCTGCTGCTGCTGCTCCGGCGGCAGCCGCAGCTCGAAGGGAGGCAGCAGCTCCAGCAGCTGCCCCGCAGCCAAAGTACTCACGAAGTCCAGCAGCAGCACTTTCCGCGGCCGCAGCGAACTGTCCGGCCGCAGCAGCAGCTTTGCTGCCAGCAGCCCCAGAGCCCCCCAGCTCAGCAGCTTCCTCACCCGCAGGCCTGTGCTGCCGCTGGAGAGGGCGCATGCATCTGCGCTGCTGAAGACTTGCAGGAAGCTTTCCCCGGGCGCAGCTTCCGCTGCTGCTGCTGCTGCTGCTGCTGCTGTTGCTGCAGTTGCTGCGCTGGCTCCAGTCGCTGCAGCAGCAGCGCCAGACACGCTGCCTGCGAAGGCAGGAGATGCAGCAGCAGGCAACTCAATGTGGGCCCCCACAACTGGGCTGTCGCTGCCAGCCAAAGACCCACTGGGCCCCCCAGCCACCAGAAACTCCCCGTGCTGCTGCTGCTGCTGCTGCTGCTGCTGCAGGCCTGCTGCTGCTGCTGCTGCTGTCGTGCCCCCGCCCACGTCCCACGCCTCGTACGCGGGCTGAGACGCCCGCGAAAACCTCACGCGAGACCTGCTGCTGCTGCTGCTGCTGCTGCTGCTGCTGTCGCTGCTGCTGGGGACTTCGCCGCGCGCAGAGTCCCAGCGGCTGCCTCTGAAGAAAACAGTCCGCGGCCTTTCCGAGCCAAAAGGAGACAGAAGTGCCATTTCGAGTGCCGCGCGCGCTGCTGCTGCCACTTCCGCATTTGGTAGCGCAGCGCGAGACCCAGGGGCCAGGGCCTGCAGCTGGCATGCACAGGAGTGCCTCCGCTGCTGCAGCCCCCTTTCTTCAAAAGGCTAGGCCCTGTAGGAAAGCTGGATTGCCAATTTGCTGGGAAAGGGCTGGTGCTGCGGCGGCTGCGGCCCGGGGGGTTGCTGCTGCTGCTTCTGCTGCTCCAGTCTCAAGGGGCTACAGAGCCAACGGCCGCGGCGGCAGCCGCGGTAGCAGCAGCTTGCTTGTTAAGGGAAACAAAAAGGCCCGCACTTATGCAGTGGTATTCAAGTGAAGCTGCGCAGTTGTTCCTCACGGCGAGTCGGCGGTGTTGGCGGGATGTCCGTCTGCAGGGCTCTTCAGCCATGGCTGTTTGGTTCATGATACCCCCAGGTAGTGGGATTAAGCCCCAGAAGGCGAGAGATATGATTATAAAGTGCAAAACACCATTAAATAATTTTGTACGGCAAAATTAACCGGCGCTTGGCTGAGTGGTGCTCTGGGGCACTGAGCAGCAGCGCAAGGCCGAAATAAACTACCTTGCCCGTTGGCGCCGCTGGAATGCGAGTGGTAGCTGAAAAGGAACTGACGACCACTTTTTACACTTTGTTTTCAGAATAAGTTCAAGAAGAATTTGAAACTTGCAGCTGGAATTTGGCTTTCAAGGTGTAGACCTCCAGACATGGGTGGCCATGCTTCAGAAGCGTACCGCGGCCGTCGAGCATGAACTCGTAGGCCTTCCGACTGTTCGCGTTTTCATTTAATACGACTTATTTGTTCCTAGTTAAAGTATTTTGCAATATGCTCATATTTACGCTGCCTAAGGGGCCCGTGTTCAGCCGATCTGCCAGCTTCAGTTCATTTGCACTAGGGGGCCGCAGTTGGCTGGCCCCAAGTTCGCCCTCCTTAAAGCCATAAGCAGCTGAAGGATCCCGAAGCATCTCTCTTTGCATCTGGATTGGGTTTTTTCCTAATGTTTTGGGCTCAGCGGGCTAGTGCATTTCTTCCTGTACGGCGGCGTGGCTCTTCTTGGTAAGCTCCACGGAGGCCTCGCTCCAGTTCAATCAATACCTGCTTTGTCCTGCTCATTATGCCCATAAAAAAAGGCACATTTGGGGGGCCAAACTCTTATCAGACGCACTAGTTAGGGCCAGTTCGATTGGCCGAGCTCTTCTTTGTAAATGTACGACCACAGCACCTGCAGACAGAGTCCAGTTGGTCCTTAGCCAAGTGCAGCCGCACGAACACTGAAATACATCGTTTTGATTAGAAAAGAGAAGCATGGCGGCTATTTGGCAGCAGTTTTACATTTATTTGGCACATTGATTAGCTAGCATTAGTGACCCTTAGGAGCTACTGCGGTGTGGGGGCAGAGGCGGTCCCTCGATGTTTCTGGATATTCGTATTGCATGCGAAGACCTCATTACTATGCTTGGCAGCGCCTCAGTATAAAATTAAATTCAAATCCGAAAACTTTGTTGCCTTCGTCGCGAAGGTGCTTGCCAGTGGGACTTTTTCTTTCATGAACAACAAGTAACTCCTAATGCTGCCCCCGCTGACGAAGCACAAGTCGCAATCTTTTTTTTCAAGAGTTGTATATCATGACTTTTTTGCCAATATAGTACAGTTTGCATGTGCAATTAAGATGGCTGACGGCTCTGCCAAAAAGCACTCATAGAGGCACAGATTTAGCTAGAAAGCAAAAGAGCGAAGCTTCTACAAACTGCACCTTCCCAAGTACCTCCAGTAACTCACATCTCCATTTAGTCAACGCAGCGAAGCCAAAAGAATTAACTGCCTAAGGCCGAACTTCGCAGTACGCTCCTGTGGCTCATAGTTGACAGGCGCCAAACAGCAGCAGCAGCAGGTGACCTGGCCAGTTCAGGTTATTTGAACTACTTCAAGTGCTCTTCTCTTTTTACTTCCTCTTGCTTTATTTTTCGCAGTTTATTGCCGCCAGCTTTAGGGGCTTTCAGGTGTCTGACGAGCCTCGAGGCTTCCCTACACCACAGGAGGCTTGCAGCTACGCGCAAGTAAATGCAGCCCCAGCTAATCAGATGTTTTCCCAATCAGATTTAAACAAATTGTGAGAAAATAGATGTGCGAACTTTGCCTAAAGGCAACTTTTCCAGCTTCAATGCAAGAGGAAAGCAGGAAGTCTGGAGGCACTCAGACTGAGCACCCAAAACTTAACAGGACGGGCCATGTGCTGTCCTGAGTAGCGAGACACATCCCTCATTTCCGAGATTTTATTAAGGAACACCGTTTAGTGTTTATAGCTTATGGCTTCTAGGATTTAGGGTTTAGGGTTTAGGTTTCCATTGCATACCATAAGGGCGTAGTCGTGCCGTTACAACAACAGATGACGTACTGGGCAATAATCCTCGTTAGTGTTTTGCAGAATAAGGCCAAAAGTAACCTCAGATCTTTCTTGAGAGCAATCTAACAGCTGAAGTTCTCTTATATGAGCGTTTAAGAATGCAAGAGGCTAGGGCTCTGTCGCTTCCCCTAACACGCATGCTAGTGCACTGGCTGCCAAAGCTGCACCACTAAAAAGGCTATTTCACGGGTTCAAATTTGTTTTATTTTATGCCCCAGTGTTGGCCGTACTGTGAATTTGAGGATTTGGCTTACGGGGATGTGCCCCTAAACCCCGCAAGACACTTGATGTGAAAGTATGGAGGTGTTCCTTTTGAAAAAGCATTTACTGCTGCGGAAGTCACTCTAAGCATTGGTGTAAACCAAATGAAAGACTCTTATGTACTGTGCACTGTCAGGAAGCTCTTGGCCGTGGCCTTGGCCTTTCTCTTGCCTTTAGCAAAGCCTACTTCAGCCTTCACTGAACAGCTTCTCTGCTTATCTAGTGGTGTCTAGCAGCCCGTGGAGCCTTTAGCTGGACCAAAAGGTTGCGGGAATTGCCTCATTACGCTGAATATTATGAAGGCTGGACTTGCTTTTGAATTCAGATCCTTCCCGTGTCGCCTTTCTGCAGGCAAGAGTGTGGTGGTTGTTGTTCTGTGTCTTCACCTCCAGTTGACTTGAAGTGAACGAATTGTTTTCAAAGATCAGCAGACACGCCGAAAGCGGACTATTCTGAGTGCCAGACAAAGACTTAGAGTCTTCTCACAGGTACGAGTTGAAATGTGTGCTTGGGGAGCGGGAAAGAGGGAGCAAGAGCCAGGGTGGACAGCGTCTAGTCGACGGCCGGTTTAACAAATTGAGCATCGTTTGTGCGGGCCTTACCTCAAATTTCATTATAAATTCAAATTTATAATATTTTGCTTTCAATGTGGAAGCATTCCGTGGCTTTGGCTCGGGTCGCCGGGTGTTGCGTGGTGGGCAACCCCACCCCAGCCGCGGCTGCGCAGGTTCCCGCACCCGGCGCGAGCGCCGAAGTCCTGTTTGTCCTTTCTTTTAACTGGAGTTTTGTCTCAGCGAAAGCAGTAAACTGTCAGCGGCGAGCGCTGCGGCTTGCGTTTGCCGTGCGGCCACGCAGGCGCGCTGGATCTTTGCAGACGCTAAGCCGTTTGCGGAGCTGGTTGTGGCGGCGCCTCGCGTCATTCCCGTCGTTCGCGTTTTCAATTTTTTGTCAATTTTGCCTTTCGGCGGTGCAGCCGCTGCGCAGATCGCGTGGGCGGCGCGGGATCAGCGGGGTTGTTCACCCCGTTTGCTGCTGCTGGCTGCGCGGGCGATCCGGCGGGAATCCGGGGTGCAGGCGGTTTATTTTTTCGGGATTTGTGCAGATTTTCTGTGTTTTGTCCCCCGGCAGCGTTTGGGGGAGTTCGAGCGGCTTGCGGCGGCGGAGTGGCGTGGCGGCATGAGCCTGTGCGGAGCCTCGCCGCCGCCGGGCGGCGGCGCGCGGGAAGCCGACCCCAGCAGCGTGGGAATGATGGAAGGCGCCTTTTTCGTGGGCCGGACGGAGCTTTTGGAGTGGCTGAACAGCAGTTTGCAGCTGAAACTCTCCAAAGTGGAAGAGTGCGCCTCGGGCTGCGTCTACCTGCAAGCCCTGGACTGGCTGCTGGGGCCCCGCAGCCGCGTGGCCATGGGCCGCGTCAAGTGGGGCGCGCGGCTCGAGTACGAGTTCGTGCACAACTACAAGCTGCTGCAGGCCGCCTTCGACGCACACCAAGTCCACAAACACATCGAAGTCAACAAACTCGTCAAGGCCAAGTACCAAGACAACTTGGAGTTTCTCCAGTGGCTCAAAGCCTTCTGCGACCGCCAGGCGCCCCTCTACGCCACCGACGTCCCCTACGACCCCCTCGAACGGCGCCGGGTCCGCCAAGCGCTCCTGCTGCTGCTCCTGCTGCTGCTGCTGCTGCTGCTGATGATGATGCTGCTGCTGCTGATGATGATGATGATGCTGCTGCTGCTGCTGCTGCTGCTGCTAAGGGTTGGGTGGCAGTGAGGATGGCGGGGATAGGGAGGGTGGTGACGTGGCGGTGGGGGTGGTGGTGGGGACCGTGGGGGTGGTGATGCGCTGCTGCTGCTGCTGCTGCTGCTGCTGCTGCTGCTGATGATGCTGCTGCTGCTGATGATGCTGCTGCTGTTGCTGCAGCTAGTGCACTTCGCTTCTCCTGCTGCTGGCGCCAGGCCTGCGGCTGCCGTGCGTGGTGTTGAACAAAGGTGCATTAGTTTGCATGCTTTTTGCCTCTTGCCTTTATTTATTTATTTATTTATTTATTTATTTATTTATTTATTTATTTATTTATTTATTTATTTATGTTCAGCTCGGCATCGGCCCCTTCCCCGCGTGGGCCCCCGTGGGGCCCGAGGGGGCCCCCAAGAAGCCGTCTGCTGCTGCCTACGCCTCCTCAACAGCAGCAGCCAAGCCTGCAGCAGCAGCACACGCGTCCTCCCGCTGCCGCGTGCAGCAGCAGCAGCAGCAGCAGCAGCAGCAGAGGCCCGGGGCTGGGGGCTCCGGCGGGGGCGCGGGCGCCTCTCAGAAGCGGCAGCAGCAGCAGCAGGCGCAGCAGGAGCCGCAGCAGCCTTCGCAGCAGCGGCTGCGGGGAGACGCAGCAGCAGCAGCAGCAGCAGCAGCAGTGGAGACGCTGCAGGGCGAGCTGCAGCAAGCCGTGCTGGAGCGGGACTTCTACTACGGCAAACTCCGCAGAATTGAAATTCTCTGCGAAGCCCCGGGGCAAACAGCTTTGAGTGTGGAGCAGCTGCAGGCCATTTTGTATGCAAAGGATGACCCCGAGGAGCCCCTGGAGGGCACCAACTAGCTGCTGCTGCTGCAGCAGCAGCAGCAGCAGCAGCAACGGCAGCAGCAGCAGCAGCAGCAGCAGGGCAACAGCAGCAGCAAGAGCAGCAACGGCAGCAACTGCAGCAGCAGCAACAGCAGCAGCAGCAGCAACGGCAGCGGCAGCAGCAGCAGCAGCAGCAGCGGCAGCTCGGGCTGCAGCCAGCGGGAGGGCGCTGGGGAAAGGCAGAAGCAGCAAATGATTTGAACTGAAGTGCCGCGCATGCATGCAGAGCCACAGAAGAGCTCAGTGTCTGTACACCCCGTGCATGCAGACCCCACAACTTTGCTGCTGCTTCCAGCAGCACGCAGAGCAGCAGCACGCTTTGCTCGGGTGTACGTACACCTGCGTGCATGCAAAGTGCTCACGCGCATACACACATATAGGTGTATATATATATATATATATATATATATATATATTATATATGTTTATGTATATATATATCTATATATATATTATATATATATATTTATATTTACATAAGTATAAAATAAATATATTTAGATGCATGCACAGGAAAGGCACTTTTGCGCAGAAGGTCTGGGCAGCAGCAAAAGGTTTGGGGCTGCTGCTGAGTGCATGCAAATTGTCTGCATGCATTTCCGCGGAGTGCATGCACTGAGACACTGTGGGGTCTGGGGCTGCGCCCCGCAGCTGCCGCTTTGCTGCTGCTGCTGCTGCTGCTGCTGCTGCTGTGGCTGTTCTGACGGCCGAGGGAGGAGCAAGAGCAGCAGCAGCAGCAGCAGCAGCAGGGCACCGGCAAGCGTGGGTGCAGCAAAGGTGGTGCCAGCAGCAGGGGCGGCAACATTGGCGGCGGCTGCAGTAGCAGCAGCAGCGCAGCAGCGAGGAACAGAATGGCCGCACCAGTAGCAGCAGCAGCAGCTGCTGCTGCTGCTGCTGCAGCAGCAGCAACCAAGTTAGTGGGAAGGGGAAACAGATGAGTGACCCTCAGCCGCTCGAAAAGCCGGGTGTAGGGGGGCGCCCGCAAGGCGCGTTTAACAGCTTTCTCTTCGACTTTAGTGTATACAATTAGGGTTTTCCTGTGCAGGGTTTAGGGTTTAGGGTTTAGGGTTTAGGGTTTGGGGTTTAGCGTCGCGGCGAGCCTTCCAGCGAGGAGCGGGCGCCGCCGAAAGGCTGCTGCGGAACACTGTTTCCGCTGTTGAGGCGACAGCAGATTTTAACTGAAAGTAATTGAACTTCAATTAAATTAAAAAATAAATATTTTGAAAATATAAATAATCAAAATTGGAAAACGAAGAGATACTCGGCTGTATAGACTTCTGCTGCTTTGCTGCTGACCTCATCGACCCCGGGGGGCCCCATGCAGGGGCCCCCGGGGGCCCCTCAGGGGCCTCGAAACTGGGGGCCCCGTGGGGTTAAATAAGTCAATTTCAAAGTAATTTCATAAACTTTGCCTTTTATTTCCTAAATAATTAGCTGCTGCTGCCTGAAATGTGAAAATCTGGGCCCGGGGCGGCTGCAGCAGAAGGCTGAGCAGCGAGCAGGGCAGCAGCAGCAAGTGCTGCAGCAAGCCCATGTTTTCCTGGGTAACCGGCAGCAACAACAGTTTTTGCTGCAGCTTAAGCAGCAGCAGGATCTGCAGCAGCAACAGAAACAATAGCAGCAACTGCAGCAACAACGCCCGCCAACGGCAGCCGAAGCAGCAGCAGCACTCCCCTGTTCTTGCTGCCTGCCCACAGTGATCCAGAAATGGCAGGTGAAGTTGCTGCTGCTGCTGCTGCTGCTGCAGCAGCAGCCCCTCCACCCCACGCAGGTGCAGAGCTGCTCCTCCCTAGAGTTGCTGTCGAAACAGCAGCCGGTGGCGAGTGGCTTGAGCTTAGAAGCAGCAGCAACAGCAGCAGCAGCAGCAGCAGCAGCGACAGCTGCAGCAGCGGCAGTATCACAGACAGTGACAGTGATGCAGCAGTGAGCAGCAGCAGCAGCAAGAACAGATGCAGCAGAGGCAGCAGCTTTCTGCCTTCACATTCTTTCAGGTGGCACCGCGTCTGCTCCCCAGCAGCAGCAGCAGCAGCAGCAACAGCAGCAACAGCGCAATCAGAAGCAGCAGCAGCAGCCTCCAGCCCAGACGCGGCCTCAACAGCAACAGTGACAAGGGCAGCAGCAGCAGCAGCAGCAGCAGCAGCAGCAGATGAAGCAATATCTCGGCTCGCCTCCACTGTTTGTCAGCAGCCCTCTTTGCTGCTGCATCCCGAAGGCTTTGGTGATTATGTGCTGCTGCTGCAGCAGCAGCAGCAGCAGTGGCTGCGCCGCATTTGCAGCTGCTGCCATGGAGGCAGAGACACGCAGCTGCACCATCTGCTGCTGCTGCTGCGGGACGCCTTTGCCTTCACATTCTTGAAAGAAGCTGCAGCAGCAGCAGCAGCAGCCGCTGCAGAGGCAGCAGCAGCAACAGCAGCAACGGCCAGCGGAAAGGAAGCAGCAACAGCAGCAAGCGCAGCGGCAGCTGCTGGTTCAATCAGAGGAGAAGCAGCAGAAGCAACCGCTGCTGCGTCTGCTGCTGCGTCTGCTGCTGCATCTGCTGCTGCTGCTGCTGCTGCTGCCAGTGGTCAGGCCCCACCCCACGGATTCCTTATCGAATGTGGACCAGGCAAGCCGCAGCTGCTGCTGCTGCTGCTGCTGCTGCTGCTGCTGCTGCTGCCCTTGCTGCTTATTATATTTGCTGCTGGAGTTTCTGGAGCCCGCGGCACCTGCTACTGCTGCAGCTGCTTCCACTGCTGCTGCTGCTGCCACTGCTGCTGCTGCTGCAAGCACTGTGGCTTTGCTGCTGCTGCTAGCTGCTGCTGTCTGGTCCTATTGAGGCCCCTAGCAGCAGAAAGCCTGGCGTCTAGATGGTAGAATCTAGGGTTTAGGGTTTAGGGTTTAGGGTTTAGGGTTTAGGGTTTAGGGTTTAGGGTTTGTGCTGCAGGCCAAGGCGTGCGTCACTTTTGCCGCGCTGTGGCTGCACACGCTCCCTGGCTGCCCCGCCAAACAGCAGCAGCAGCAGCAGCAGCAGCAGGGGAGGCAGCAGCAGCAGCAGCAGCAGCAGCAGCAGCAAGCCAGGAGGCAATTGCTGAGAACTGCGGCTCCGCTGAGGGCCGCGGCGCCCGGACTGTTAATTTAGGTCTATACGCCAGTAGTGTGCTGCCTCCGGTCAGCAGCAGCAGCAGCAGCAGCAGCAGCAGCAGCAGCAGCAGCAGCAGCGCTTGCTGCTCCGGTGCAGGCAAGCAGCAGCAGACTCAACAGCAGCTCAGCCAGCAGCCTCAGCAGCAGTTTGATGCTACTGCGAAATGCCCCGCTGCAGCACATGCACTGTGCTGCTGTGTAGCGGAGGCCCTCTGCAGCAGCAGCAGCAGCAGCAGCAGCAGCAGCAGCAGGGCTGCTGCAGGGGGCTTATCACTGCAGCGCCAACTATCAGCAATAATAGCAGAGGCGCGGGCGCGCCAAATTCTTTTTCGAAAGAGTTTGCTGCAGCTTGCCCGGCAGCAGCAGCAAGGGCAGCAGCAGCAGCAGCAGCAGCAGCAAGGGAAGCAGCAAGAGCCGATTACAGAACGACAGCTGAGTCTGCTGCTGTCGGGCGGCGGGGCTGTCTTTGTTGTATTGGAGGGCATGCATTCGTTGCTGCAGCTGCAGGCATCGAGCAGCAGCAGCAGCAGCAGCAGCAGCAGCAGCAGTCGCGTCAACTTGAAGAGCCTGCTGCTGCAGCAGCTGTCTGCGTTTGCGGCGACCTGCAGCAGCGAAGGCCTCCCCGTGTTTGTCATGGTGCCTTTTGATGCAGCAGAGGCTGCTGCTGCTGCTGCTGGCAGTGCTGCTGCTGCTGCTGCTAAAGGCTTGCTGCCAGTGCGGCAGCGGCTGGCCGAGCTGCTGGGGCAGCAGCTGCTGCAGCCATTCCTTATAGAGCGAGTTATAGCGCTGTCAGACTCTCTTTCGGAGCAGCAGCGAGCAGCAGTGCTGCTGCTGCTGCTGCGCCGCATGTACGCTGGCGCTGCAGCAGCTGCAGCAGCTGCAACAACTGCAGCAGCAGCAATTGCAGCAGCTCCCGCAGCTCCAGGAGCTGCAACAGCTGCAGCTGCTGCGGAGGCCACACAAATCCGCCGGCTCGCAAGGTGAGTAATCAGCTGCTGCTGCTGCTGCTTCTGCCGGAACCTGCTTGGCTGCACCTCTTGTGCTCGCTGCAACAATTGCTGCTGCTGCTGCTGCTGCTGCTGCTGCGATGTGCATGCGCAGCATTGGCGCTCTGTGGACCTGCGGCTTTTCTGTAGCCGACCTGCGCAGTCTTCTGCGCGCTGCCGTCACGAACTGCATGCAGCGGCAGCTCCGCAGCAGCAGCAGCAGCAGCAGCAGCAGCAGCAGCAGCAGGGTGTTGTCTGCTGCAGACTTGCGCCAGGCGCTGCTCTCTGTCAGCCCGTCAGCAGTGCGGCTGCTGCGGGTCGGCAGTGTGCAGCGGCTGCTGCCTCCTGTGTCGGCGCCGCAGGATGCAGCAGCAAACGAGATCTTTGCTGCTGCTGCTGCTTCTCCAGCAGCAGAGGGGAGGCTGGCATACCTCACTTACACGCGCCGCAGCAACGGCAGCAGCAGCAGCAGCAGCAGCAGCAGCAGCAGCAGCAGCGAAAGCGAGACTAGCAGCGACAGCACGAGCAGCAGCCACAGCAGCAGCGACAGCAGCAACGGCCGCTGCAGCAGCAAAAGGTGCTGGTGCGGCAGCTGCTGCTTGCGGGTCCGGCAGGGCCTGAAAGCTGTGTGGGGGCAGCAGCAATTAGTGGAGCAGCTAAAAAGGGAAGTTGTGGGGCCATTTAAGCAGCAAATAAGAGCAGCTCCAGCAGCAGCAGCAACTCCTTCCGGTGCTGCTGCTGCTGCAGCTGCTGCTGCAGCAGCTGCTGCTGCGCTTCAGGCGGCACCTCTTGGTTGCGTTCTCGAGGGGCCTTCGGGCTCAGGTCAGCACACAGCAGCAGCTGCTGCTAGCAGCAGCAGCTGCTGCTAGCTGCTTGCTTTCTTTTGCTGCTGCTTTTTCTGCTTCTGGCTTCTCTCTGGCTGCTCCCTCTCTTCCTGCTGCTGCTGCTCTGTGTGCTGCTTCTAGCTGCATATTTGCTGCTGCTGCTGTTCCCGGGCCTCCGCTACTTGCAGCTGCCTGCACGCTTCACACGCTCTAACAGCGACTCTCTGCTGCTGCTGCTGCTGCTGCTGCTGCTGCTGCTGCAGGTAAGTCGTTCGTGTGCGGCTGCGTAGCTGCTGCAGCAGGCGCCGTGCTGGTGCGTCTGTCTGCTGCTGATCTGCTGCGGAAAGAAGTTGCTGCAGCAGACAAGCAGCTGCTGTCGGTCTTTGCTTCGCTGCGGCGCTGCACTCCTGCTGTGCTGCTCATTGAAGACGTGGACATCCTGTGCAGCAGCAGCAGCAGCAGCAGCAGCAGCAAGATAGCGGGAACTCTGCTGCAGCAGATCGACGAGCTCGCGCTGCTGCGGGCTTTCAGCGCCGACGAGGGGCAGAGATTTGCTGCCTCCAGTTTGCTGCTGCTGGCCACAGCAACTAAAGCAGCAAACATTGACAGCAGGCTCCTGCAAGTCCGTAACTTGCTGCTGCTGCTGCTGCTGCTGCTGCTGCTGCTGCTGGTGACGTTGCTCAACTGCTAGCTGCTTCCGCTGCTGCTATCTTGCTGCGTCTAGTTCCCTTTATTCCCGTGCCGCTGTTACTGTCTCCTGTGGCGCTGCTGTCTTCCGCAGCTGATTGCTGCTTTTGCTGCTGCTGCTGCTGCTGCTGCTTTGCGCATTTGGTGCAGCCTCACCGTTTCAGCAAAGTATTCAGTCTGGCCAGGAGCAGCAGCAGCTCCAGCGACTCAGCAGCAGCAGCAGCAGCAGCAGCAGCAGCAGGGCTGCTCCAGCGCTGCCTTATTGGCCGCTGCAGTCCGTCCATTAGGAAGAAGGATTTGCAGCAGGTTGTTGAGCTGCTAAACAGCCGCAGCAGCAGCAGCAGCAGCAGCAGCAGCACAACAGCATCATGTGCAGGTTCTCTTTCCCCGACACTTTGCGTGTCGCTGTGCCAAGAGGCAGCAGTTGCTGCAGTGCGCCGTCAGCAACAGCAGCAGCAGCAACAGCAGCAGCAGCAACAGCAGCAGCAGCAACAGCAGCAGCAGCAACAGCAGCAACAGCAGCAGCACAGTAGGTTAATTCAGCTGTGTGATATCATAGAGGCAGCGAGAAGCATGCGCCTCTCCTCGTGATGTCTGCTGCCAGCAGCAGCTTCCCTACTTTACTGCTGCTGCTGTTGCTGCAGCTGGCGTTGCTGCTGCTGTTACTGCAGCTAGCGTTGCTGCTGCTGCTCCAACTCTAGACAAAAGCGCACTTGAAACAGTACAACCTGCAGTGCTCTTGCTGCTCTTCCTGCCGCTGCTGCTGCTGCTGCTGCTGCTGCTGCTGCTATAGCTGCTGCTACTGTTGTTACTGGGGGCGCCAATTCTTGAGTTCAAAAGAGTTCGCCCCCTCTCGAGCTCAGTCTGTTGCTGCTGCTGCTGTTGCTGCTGCTGCAGCAGCGCATGCACGCTGAGCAGCAGCAACACCGCGCAACCTCGCACGGCGCAGCCAGCAGCAGCACAGAAGTGCGCCGCAGCACTCGCTGCCACTGCAGCAGCTGCAGCACACGAGATGCGGGCAGCAGCAGCAGCTGCTGCTGGTGCCCGCAGCTCCACTGCGTGGCCCGGCAGCAGCTGCTGCTGCAGCTGCTGCTGCAGCTGCTGCTGCAGCTGCTGCTGCAGCTGCAGCAGCAGCAGCAGCAGCAGCTTTTACCGGTCTGCCTGCCTCCCCCTGTCTCCCTCGCAGCACCAGACCGGTAAAAACTGCTGCTGCTGCTGCAGCTGCTGCTGCAGCTGCAGCTGCTGCTGCAGCAGCAGCAGCAGCAGCTTTTACCGGTCTGCCTGCCTCCCCCTGTCTCCCTCGCAGCACCACAGAGTTGCCATGGCGGACTCGCCAAAAAGATCTGTAGCCTCGGCTTCTTCGTCTTCGTCTGCTGCTGCTGCTGCTGCTGCTGCTTGCTGCTGCTGCAGCAGGCCGGCGAGTTCGCGGAGCAGCGCCGCTCCCCTGCGGCGCCTCTGGGCCGCAGCAGCAGCAGCAGCAGCAGCAGCAGCGGCCTCTGCGCCGCTGCTGCTGCCGCCCAAAAGCGCGCCCCGGCGCAGCAGCTCCTGTTCTGCTGCTGCAGCAGCAGCAGCAGCAGCATGGCAGCCAGCCAAGTCCATCATTATTCCAGAAACTGGACAAACCACAAACCCCACTTCTCCTGCTGCTTCCATTCGCATGCAGCCCCAGCCGCAGCAGTGCAGCAGCCCGCTTTCCGCGCAGCGGTAGAGGTCTGCCCCCACGGCAGCGATGCTGCAGCGGCTGCCCGCGCACACGTGGCCTGCTGCTGCTGCTGCTGCTGCTGCTGCTGCTGCTGCTGCTGCTGGGGCTGCTGCTGCGGCGGGCTGCGGCGGCGGCGGCGACTCGCGGCCTGCTGCTGCGGGCTGCTGCTGCTGCTGCTGCTCAGAAGCCTGCTGGCCGGGGCTGCGCTCCTTGTGCAGCAGCCGCTGCTGCTCCTGCAGCCGCTGCTGCTGCTGCTGCTGCTGCAGACGCTCTTGCTGCTGCTCCTGCAGCTGCATCGCAGCCTGCATTTCCGCGAACTGCACGAGGGCCTCGTCGATCTCGCTGCTGCTGCTGCTGCTGCTGCTGCTGTCGAGTCGGCGCTTCTTGGGAGTGCCGAACCACTGCTGCTGCTGTTCCTGTTGCTGCTGCAGCAGCAGCAGCTGTTCCTGCTGCTGCTGCAGCAGCTGCGACCGCAGCTTCTTCCGCTGCACTTCCTCCCTGCACTGCGCGATGAAGGCGTGCCTGGAGGCCGCCTTGCTGCTGCTGCTGCTGCTGCTGCTGCCCGCTCGTGCTGCAGCAGGCCGCAGCACCTGCTGCCACAAGTACATGCATGCAGACACACGACGCAGCCGCCGACACACCAAAGGAATAGAAGCTGCCAGCTCGAGGGGGGGCAGCAGCAGCAGCACGGACAGCAGCAAGTCGTCGCTGAGGCGCTGCAGCATCGTGCAGTCCGGACCAGTGGTCTCTTCCAACGTGCTGCTGCTGCTGCTGCTGCTGCTGCTGCTCTTGCTGCTGCTGCTGCTGTCGCTGCTGCTCTGGCTCCTCGCGCTGCTGCTGCATGCCGCAGGTGCTGCGGTACAGTCGCTGCTGCAGCGGCAGCTGTCGCTGGGGCCCCACTGGGGCTCCCGCCCGTCGACTTCCATCATCGCTGCTGTTGCTGCTGCTGCTGCTGCTGTTGCTGCTGCTGCTACTTCCGCTGTTACTGCTGCGGCTGCGGGTCGTTCTGCAGCAACCAAACACTAGTTGCGGCACTGGCAGCACATGTGTGCGGACCCGCTGCTGCTGCGCTGCTATAGTGCTGTAGCTGCTGCTGCTACTGCTGCTGCTGCTGCATCTTCGTCGAGCAGCAGCGGCTTCGGGTCCTACTCGGAAGGCGCTGCAGCAGCAGCCCTGTGGGCTGGAGCAGTACGTGCTGCTGTTGATAGTTCGCTGAGACTCGACTGCTGCTGCTGCTGTTGCTGCTGCTACTGCTTTCGCTGCTGCTGCCGCTGCTGCCGCGCGGCCCAGAATGCTGCCGAGACGAGCTGGGGGTCGAAGAGAAAACCTTCTCCGGGACCCGCACTACACTTTAATCTAAAGCAGAGTTTCCCAGCTATTGCACACCAGCAGCAGCAGCAGCAGCAGCAGCAGCAGCCGGGCGGCGGCTCGCATGCGTTGGAGCCCAACCGCCGCAGGCGTGTTGCTGCTGTTGCTGCTGCAGCTGTTTTTGGAGCAGAAGCAGCAGAGTTTTGTCCCTAAAAGTACGAATCGTACATTTTGCAAGTCATGCTTTTATGTGTGCGTGGGATTCTGCAGCAGCAAGCTACGCCAGCGTTCGAGGTAACTAGTGAGCAGCGGCAGCTGCAGCGAAAGCAGCAGCAGCAGCAGGGCCTTCGTTCCTTCCCCCAGGGTCCTCCAGTGTGTATGAGCGTTGTTTAGTGTAAAAGGCCGATTAGCAGCAGCAGCAGCAAGGAAAGAAGCAGCAGCAGCAGCAGCAGCTCGCTCCTCCACCCGGCTGACGCCTGGGCGGTGCAGCAGCCCTCTCCCTCCCCCCCCCTCAGCAGCAGCAGCAGCAGCAGCAGCAACGCTGAAAATGAAGGACTTTGCGTATTTCTTTTTGCCTTTTGGCGGGATATTGGCGGCTTTGCTGGTGTTCGTGCCCACGCGGCGCGTCCACCGCGCCTGCGTGTCTTTGTGCTGCCTCCACCTGCAGCTGGGGCCGCTGCACATCGGCATAGCAGCTTCCGTGTGTCTGTACTCTTCAATTCGCCTGGTGTTGACGGCCATGAAGCTGCGGGAGGTGTACGCAGCAGCAGCAGCAGCGCGGCCGGAAGCTGCTGCTGCTGCGCTCGCCGGGCTGCCCCCAGCAGCAGCAGCAGCAGCAGGCCTCAAGGGCGGCAGCAGCTACCAACTGCGCCACGAAAGGAACCTTTGGATTGAACTCTTCTGTCTCGTTTTGTGGCTGTTCGTTTGGCGCTGCGGGAAGCTGCTGGGGCGCCAGTGGCAGCGCATTGACGCGCTCAAGGCCGAGCTGCTGCTGCTGCTGCAGCAGCAGCAGCAGCAGCAGCACGGAGATGAAAGCCAAGCAGCCGCCAAACTCAAAGACCCCGACACGGCAAAGCAGCGGCAAGAGGAAGCTGCTGCGAAGGCCTCCAGCCTGAAAGAGGACAAGTAAGCGCAGCAGCACGAGCTAGCAGCAACAGCAGCAGCAGCAGCAGCAGCAGCAGCAGCAGCAGCAGCAGCAGCAGCAGCGGGATAGTTCTGTCTGCAGAGCATAGCCCAAAGAGCCAGCTGGGCTTGCCTCTAGCTGCTGCTGCTTCTGCGCCAGAATGTTCTGCGTCTTTCTCTGTTCATCTTCGAGCGTCTTATGCTGCTGCTGCGTTTGCTGCTGCTGCTTTTGCTGCTGCTGCTTTTGCTGCTGCTGCTTTTGCTGCTGCTGCCTCTTCCTATCTGAGCTGCTGCTGGCGCGCCTTCTGCGCCTCTTTGTGTCTTCGTTGCTGCTGCTTGCTGCTGTTTGCTGCTGCTGCTGCTGCATTGCGGGTTTCTTGAGTTCTTTCTTGTTTTTTTACTTTCATTTTATTCATTTTATTTGAATTTATTCCTTTTTGTTTGCTGCTGCTGCTGCTGCTGCTGCTGCAGGGCCGGGGGCTCCATAGAAATGATGCGGCTGCGGAAGACGGCGGGGAGCGCCGAGGCGAAGGAAGACTGAGTGATTTGCTTCTTTGAACTTATTATTTATTATTTATTTATTTATTATTTATTTATTTATTTATTTATTTATTATTTATTTATTTATTTCTCATTTATTCACTCATTTGTTGTTTGCTTCTTGCTTTTCTACTTCCTCTTGCTTCTTGCTTCGGCTCTCTAGTGCCTACAGCAGCAGCAGTCGGGGGCTGCGGGCGGCGAATCCTGCTGCTGCTGCTGCTGCAGCAGCTGCTGCAGCAGCAGCAGACGCTGCAGCAGCAGCTGCTGCAGCGTCTGCTGCTGGAGCTACGTTTGCCAGTGCCGCTCCAGAAGCGGCTGCTGCCACAGCAGCAGCTTTTAGGTTTATGCTTTGCTGCTCTTCCCGCATGAACTGTAGCTGTAGCGGTTGCTGCAGCAGCAGCAGCAGCAGCAGCAGCAGCAAAAGCAGCAGCAGCTCTTCGCGGGTGAAAAGGCCCGCTTTAAAGCCTGCCTAGTGCATTTAGTATAGGATGCTAGACAGGCTCTCGCCGCTCTTTCGTTTCGGGGCTGCAGCTGCTGCTGCTGTGCTGCTGCTGCTGCTGCTGCTGCAGAGCAGTCGCAGCAGCTTGTGCTGCTCGTGCATCGCCGCAACTCCTGCTGCTGCTGCAGCGCTGCAGCTGCTGCTGCAGGTGTTTTATTCTGTTGCAGCTGAGCCTTGAGTGCGCATTTGTCCCTCTGGATTGATAGTTACAGCTAGCTAGCTAGCTAGCTTGTTAGCTAGCTAGCTGGCTGATTAGCTAGCTAGCTAGCTAGCTTGTTAGCTAGCTAGCTGGCTGGTTAGCTAGCTAGCTAGCTAGCTAAGTAGCTAGCTAGCTAGCTAGCTAGCGTGCGGGGGGCGAGGTAATTCGCAAGCTAGCTGGTTGGCAATTTAGTTGGTGAGGATTCATTGGCCGCTAGAGCAGCAGCAGCAGCAGCGGATGCTGCTTTTGCTGCTGCGGGGAGCAGCAGCGCAGCAGCAGGAGGCAGCTCGCGATAGCAACTGGACTCGTGGGGCAGCAGCAGCAGCAACAGCCGCAGCAGCAGCAGCTAAGCTCAAGAGGCTGGGGCTCCCCCCAGATCTCCTGCTGCCCCGGCAGCTCTTTGCTGCTTCTCAGCAGCAGTTCTGTGCTGCGCTGCAGCAGTTGAGGCCTAATGGGGTGTACGTACACCTCACTGTGGCACTAGCGGAGGTGTCTTTGTGCAGCAAAAGGAAGGAGAGCAGCAGCAGCAGCAGCTCTCGGTGCTGCAGCAAACGGCAGCCGACGCGCCACCTGTGCTGCTGCTGCTGCTGCTGCTGCTGGCTGCAGCGTTAGCTGCAGCAGCAGCTGGCGCCCCGCACCCGTGGCTGCCCAGCAGCGTCAATTAAAGCAGCAAAATATCTTTTAACTGCCCTGTTACTGCTAGACAAACAGCTGCTGCTGCTGCTGCTGCTGCTGCTGCTGCTGGGGCCCCACAGCTGGGGCTGCGAAAAGTCGAAGTAGAGCGCCTTCGCCGTGGGGCTGCTGCCGCCGCCTGCGGCTTTTCTTCTTTATTAATTAAAGTCAAAAGAAATATTCTTTTTTATTTTTATTTTTGCTTTTATTAATAAGCTTTTCATTGCCAGCGAGCAGCAGCAAAGGTCGAACGGCCTACAGGCCAGCTGCAGCAGTGGCCCCGCTGCCGGTGCCTCACGCCAGCTGCAGCAGCAGCAGCTGCCGCAGCAGCAGCAGAGCAGCAGCAGCGGGGAGCAGCTCCGATGCTGCTTAGCTGTGGCCACGCTGCAGGAGAACCAGCTTTGCAGCTGCAGCAGCAGCAGCAGCAGCAGCCAGGAGAGCAGGAACACGCGTGCGCGCAGCAGCAGCAGCAGCAGCGGCAGCAGGAGGCGCAGCAATGGCTGAGCAGATAGAGAGCCGCCTGGAGCATTGGGCGGGGGAGCTGCTGCTGCAGCAGCGGCTGCAGCTGCTGCAGCAGCAAGAAGTGCGGATTTTGCTGCAGCGGCGCAGAGAATTCGAATATGCCATTTCCGCAAGAAGGCCTCTTCCCCCGCTGCTGTTTCTGCGCTATGTGTCTTTCGAGTTGTCTCTGTACTGCTTGATAAGGGGCCGCAGCAAGCAGAAGCTGCTGCTGCTGCGGCAGCAGCTGAAGCAGCAGCGCAGCGAGCAGCAGCGCCGCCGCCGCAGCAGCAGCAGCAGCAGCAGCAGCAAGGCGGAGCGGCGGTACAAGGCCATGCGCAGCAGCAACGGGGCCTTCTTGCGGGCAGTGGTGTCTCGAGTGAGTTCGATCTTTGCGCGTTTGCTGCTGCGGCACGGCAGCAGCAGCAGCAGCAGCAGCAGCAGCAGCAGCAGCAGCAGCAGCTTGTGGTTTTGCTTCATCGACGTGCTGCTGCAGCTGGGCGCCACGCGCGCCGTGCTGCAGCAGCTCATGAGGGCCCTCGCGCTGCACCCCTGCTGCAGCAGCCTCTGGCTTATGGCAGCAGATCGTTTGCTGCAGCAGGGGCAGCTGCAGGCAGCTCGCCGTTTGCTGCTGCTGGCGCTGCGCTTCTGCCCCAAAGACAGCAGCGTCTGGCTGCAGCTGCTGCGGCTGGAGGCTTCTGCTGTTTACAGACTCTGCGCCAGCAGGCTTTCCAGCAGCAAACCAGCAGCAGCAGCAGCAGCAGCAGCAGCAGCAGCAGCAGCAGCAGCGGGGGCTGCTGCTGGCGAGCGGGACCCGAAGCCCGCGGAAGACGGCGACGAAGGAGACCTCGACGTCCTGCAGCTGCCACAAATCAGCAGCAGCAGCAGCAGCAGCAGCAGCAGCAGCAGCGTGAACAAGGCAGCAAAAATGGCGGTGGAGGAGAAGGTGCTGCCCGTGTCGCTGCAGCCCTGCAAGCTCATTGTGACTGCAGCAGCAGAGCGGCTTGCTGCAGCTCCTGCTGCAGCAGCAGCAGCAAAAGGCAGCAGCAGCAGCAGCAGCAGCAGCAGCGCGGACACCAGCGAGAGGGACGCCTTCCTGCTGCAGGCCCTGGAACTGTCTCTGCAGCTGGAAGCAAGTGCAGCGCAGCAGCTGCTGCAGCAGGAGACAGCAGAGCTGCAGCAGCACTTAGCAGCACAGCTCACTGAGGCAGCGCAGCAGCAGCCGCTGTTTGAGCCCCTGAGGTGGAAGCTGCTGCTGCTGGAAGCGGTGCAGCAGCAGCAGCAGCAGCAAGAGCAGCAGCAGCAAGAGCAGCAGCAGCAAGAGCAGCAGCAGCAAGGCGTTATGGACTGCTTTGAAGCAATCATTGGGACTGCTGCAGATACACCGCAAACTGCAGTGCTGCTGGGCCCCTTCCTTTCCACCTTGGAAGCAGCAAGCCGCAGCAGCAGCAGCAGCGCCAGCAGCAGCAGCAGCAGCAGCAGTGCCAGCAGCAGCAGCAGCAGCAGCAGCAACTGGTTCGACTCCATCGAGGTGGTGATTGATGTGGAGGGCGAAGACGCGCCCATTGAGGTCCATGATGGTGAGCAGCTGATGCAACAGCAGCAGCAGCAGCTACAGCAGCAGCAGCAGCAGCAGCAGCAGCAGCAAGAGCAGCAGCAAGAGCCAGAAAGCAGCGAAGAAGCCTCAGCTAGGGACGCCGTGTCGGCTCTCAGCCAAAATGGCTTCCCCCAGGCTGGGAAGCTGCTGCTGCTGCTGCCTGGTGTGCTGCGGGTCTGCTGCTTACAACCCAGCAGCAGCAGCAGCAGCAGCAGCAGCAACAGCAGCAGCAGCCGGGATGATATAAGCAACTTGCAGCTGCTGGCGGATGCAGCAAGCCTGCAGCACCAAGCAGCAAGCATCTGGAACGCACTTTGGTGTGCACCGCAGCAGCAGCAGCAGCAGCAGCAGCAGCAGCAGCAGCAGCAACGGCGGCATATCCTGCAGCTGCTGCAGCAGGCGCTGCTCTCCATCACAGATCGAATTACGGAGTTGGAGCAGCAGCAGAAGCAGCGGCAGAGACGCAGCAGCAGCAGCAGCAGCAGCAGCAGCAGCAGCCCGTCAGAAGTAGCAGATGAAATGCAGCGGGAAGCAGCAGCAGCACTTGCTGCTGCCTCGCACGAGGTGCTGCTGCGGCATGCTGCCGGCACACTGTCTGTGCTGCTGGGGCGGCTTGCTGCTGCTGCTGCTGCAGCAGCTGCTGCTGCGAAGCAGCAGCAGCTGCTGCAGGAAGCAGCAAATGTTCTCGAGCGCGTGGTGTCTGTACACCCCGGGGCCAGTGCTGCTCTCGCGCTGCACTTCCTGCGGGCCAAGCTGGCAGCAAAGAGCAGCAGCAGCAGCAAAAGCAGCAGCAGCAAGAGCAGCAGCAGCAGCACGGGACTGCTGCAGCTGTTGAAGCGACTGCAGCCCAGCAGTGTGTCTGCTGCTGAGGGGAAGCTCCTTGCTGCTGCGCTTCTCGAGGGCTTCGCGCCAGACACAGCAGCAGCAGCAGCAGCAGCAGCAGCAGCAGCCGCAGCAGCAGCAGCAGCAGCAGCCACTAGTTGGCTCCCGCAGTTGGTGAAGGCTCTGCAGCCAGCTGCAGTCTTGCCGGTGGTCCAGCACATTCTTCTGCAGCTGTGCGAGAAGCAGCAGCAGCAGCAGCAGCAGCAGCAGCAGCAGCAGCAGGAAGCAAACGCCAGGCAGCCTGCAGCGAAACGCATGCGGACCTCCGCCAGCAAGGGCAGCAGCAGCAGCAGCAGCAGCAGCAGCAACAGCAGCAGCAGCGACAGACGCAGCAACAACGAGGCAGGCGCAAACGTGGCACTGAAGCTGCTGCATGCGCAGCAGAGCAGCAGCAGCAGCAACTTGGATTTGCCTGTTGCTGCGCGTCTGCTGCTGCCTCTGGGCATTGCAGATTTTGCGCTGGCACGTATTGAGCCGCTGCTGCAGCAGCTGAAGCAGCAGCAGCAGCAGCAGCTGCTGCAGCAGCTGCAGCAGCAGCAGCTGCAGCACTGGCTGCAGCAAGCGCACGAGGTCTACGAGCATGCACTAAGGGCCTTCGAGCACAGCGGCTTGGGCTTCGATGCTGCAGCGCAGCAGCAGCAGCAAAGCCGCCCCGCGAAGCAGCAGCAGCTGCTGCAGCAGCAGCTGCTGCGGCAGCTGCCTCAGGCCTTGCAGCTGCAGCAGCAGTGGCTGGAGGAGACCCATCGCTTCCTGCGCTACCGCCGGCTCATTCTTTCTTCGCTGCCACCTAGCAGCAGCAGCAGCAGCAGCAGCAGCAGCAGCAGCAGCAGCAGCAGCAGCAGCAGGAAGTTCAGGTGTATGTACACTTCAGACGCTGCTTCTTTTTACCAAAAGGCTCGGCGGACAGTCGAAGATGCTGCAGGCTTCGTGGAGCGGCTCTCCCTTGACTGCGTTGCAGCAGCAAACAGCAGCAGCAGCAGCAGCAGCAGCAGCAGCAGCAGTAGCTGCTGCAGGAATTGCCCACCAGGTACGCGGTGGTGTCGATATTCGTAAGAGTGCATCGGGAACTGCTGCTGCAGAGGCAGCTGCTGCAGCTGCTGCAGCTGCTGCGGCAGCTGCTGCAGCCTCAACAGCTGCTGCAGCCTCAACAGCTGCTGCAGCTTCTGCTGCAGCAGCTGCTGCTGTGAGCCCAGGTGGCTCGGACGTTCCGTTGAAGGGAAGTTTGAATAAGCAGCGCAGCGCATGCAGCAGCAGCAGCAGCAGCAGCAGCAGCAGCAAGAGTAGCTCTTAGGGTGAGAAAAGGATAGGCAGCAAGCAGCAGCAGCTGCAGCGCAGCAGAGAGCAGCTGTGGGGCCCCAAGGGAAGCAGCAGCAGCAGCTCAGAGCGCATTTTAGTTCCCAGTGGCAGCAAAAGGAGCTGCCTCTAAAATATGCATTATAGTTATAAAATAATTTTATTTATTTAATTAATTAAAAGTGTTTTATTCATTTGAAGCACAGTTCTGCAAACAGTCTGCAGTGTACGTACACCGCAGTTTGCTGCAGCGCGTTCAGCTGCTGCTTTCGAGCTGCCAAGCAGCAGCAGACACTTCGCACAAAAATGGACTCCAAATGTATAAATATTTATTTAAATGTTCATTTTTTTATTTATATTTTTCATATTTTATACTAAAAGGCCCCATTTGTGCTGCTGCAGCGGCTGCTGCAGTTCCCCACAATTGGCTGTGCGGTCTGCTGCAGCAGTACAGGGCCAGTGCACAGCCCCTACGGCCAAATTCGGGTCCAAGGGGGCCCCCAGGGGGCCCCCGGGGGCCCCAGGGGGCCCCCGGAGGCCCCAGGGGGCCCCTGGGGGCCCCCGGGGGGCCGTAGAACTGGCCCTTACGGGTCCCGTACATACACATGCATGTATACATAAATATAAATAAATATATATTTATATAGGCATATATATATTTATTTTTATTTATTTATTTATTTATTTATTTATTTATTTATTTATTTATTTATTCTAAAAGGTCTTTTGATTTCTCAATCTGGCCACAACTGTGAAGTCTAAAGGCCCTGTGGGGCTGGGGCCCCTGCAGCAAGCCTCTGGGCCCCAGAGAAGGCACAGGGGCCCCAGCCAGCAGCAAATCTGTGGGGCCCCACGGGGCCCCACAGGGCCCTGCAGCAGCTGTGGGGCCCCACAGGGGCCCCTCCAGCCTTTCTGTGGGGCCCCGGAGGGCCCCCCTGCACCCCTGTGGGGCCCCACATGGGCCCCCAGGGGCCCCACAGGGCCCCCCAGCCTCCCTGTGGGGCCCCACAGGGGCCCAGCAGCGGCCAGGCCAGGGGCCCCAGCTGGGGCCCCTCAGCCCCTGTGGGGCCCTACCTGAGGGGGCCTCAGGGGCCTCCAGGGGCCCCCGTGGGCCCCTGGGGGCCCCAAGGTGCTGCTCTGTGGGGGCCTCTGCTGGGTGGGCGCCCCTGGCTCTCTGCTAGGGGAGGGCTGAGGGCAGCAGCAGCAGCTGCTGCTGCTGCTGCTGCTGCTGCTGCTCTTGCTGAGCACTTGCTGCTGCAGCAATTAAGCGCCGCTGGCTGTTGTGCTGCAGCGTTCTGCCCGCCGTGTGGCTCAGGGGGGGCCTGCGGGGGCAGAGGCCCCTGCAGCTGCTCCGGGCCGACGCAAATTGGAATTAAAGAATTAAATTGGCAAAATGGATTTAATTAAAACTAATTTTCCGAAAGATCTGGAGAAAGAGGGGGCAGTGCTGCAGCAGCAGCGGGCTGAGTCCGCCGCGGCGGCGGGCGGCGAGGGGAGGCTGGCGGGCTCGCGAGTGTGAAGGGCGCGGCGGATTTCGAATTAAATGCCTTTTTTGGGTTTATTTATTTAAATATTTGCAAATTAATTTAAGGGATTGAATTGTTTCTGAGTTGGGGCGGCTGGAGGTGGCGCCGCAGCCCGCGGCTGCGCGGTCAGCCAGCCAGTCCCTCCTTCTGTGTGGTAGGGGCTGCGGTTGCTGCGCCTAATTGGGCTTTGCTGCGCCTTTTTTTGCCCCTTTTGCTGCTAAATTGCATTTGTTGGCAATTTATAAAACCCAAAGAGCTTTTTGGCGACTTTTTGAGCCCCAAGTGAGCCCCTGCGGCGGCTGGGTTGCTGTCTGCTGCCGCGGGTCGCCGGCAATCGGCGTTGGGAGCCTCGGCCTGGCCCCGTTCTTTTGTCTTCTTTCCTTTTTCTCTAAACTTAAATTAATTATTTATTTTTAATTAATTTAAAAACTTATTTCACCTTTTAATTCCTCGCTTTAACTTCTCCTGCGCGCTGCCCCTCCCCCGAGGTCCGCAGCTCCTCCCTGCTGCTCCGGGTGCTGCTGCACCTCGCCAGCTGCTGCTGCCGCTGCTGCTGCTGCTGCTGCTGCTGCTGCTGCTGCTGCTTGCTGCAGCGCACGCACACCTCAGCCCTCTGTCCTTCGTGGGGGTGAGCTGGGGCTGCCCCCGCAGCCCCAGGTGCTGCTGCTGCTGCTGCCTGCGGGAGCAGCAGCAGCTGCAGGTGCAGCACTTTGCGCAGCTGTGTGTGTCTTTGCTGCAGCAGCAAGTTGCAGCTCCGCAGCAGCAAAACGCCAAAGTGCTCCTCCCAGAGTCTTCCAGCAAGCAGCAGCGGCCCTGAGCTCTGAAGCAGCTGTGAGCCACAGTCTAGACAAATATGTCCATCTAACCTGCTGCTGCTGCTGCTGCTGCAGCAGCAGCAACCTGCTGCTGCTGCTGCTGCAGCAGCAGCAGCAGCAGCAGCAGCAGGGGCACGCCTACATGGGTCTCCCCACCAGACCCTCAGCCTCTCTTCCGCGGCTGTTCCCTTTGCGGCAGGAGCCACAGTGGCAGCAGCAGCAGCTGCTGCTGCTGCTGCTGCAGGTGGTCCACCTTGATCAGCAGCAGCAGCAGCTGCTGCTGCTGCAGGTGGCCCACCTAGATCAGCAGCAGCAGCAGCAGCAGCAGCAGCAGCAGCTGCTGCTGCTGCTGCTGCTGCTGCTGCTGATGACGGGCTGTCTGCGCCTGCTCTTCCTGTCTTTGTGTATCCCTCCGCGCGAGTGCCTTTTCTTTCTGTCTTTATTTATTTATTTATTTATTTAAATTAATTAATTAATTAATTAATTAATTAATTAATTAATTAATTAGTTTGTTTATTTATTTATTTAAATATTCATTTGCTGCTGTTTGTTCTTCAGGCCCCTGCGGCCAAGAACGAGGAGGCTTTTGACAGCTTCGCCGTCTGCGCTGAAAACCTCAAGAAGTAAGCACTGCTAGGGTTTAGGGTTTAGGGTTTAGCCATTAGGGTTTAGGGTTTAGGGTTTAGGGTTTAGATGTGCTGTTGGGAGGAGACAAGGACGGGAGACGCACGAGGGTGTCAACGGTGCAGCAGCTGCAGCTAAGAAGCTGTCATCTTGCTGCTGCTGTTACTGCTGCTGCTGCTGCTTTATTCCTGCTGCTGCTGCTGCTTTATTCCTGCTGCTGCTGCTGCTGCTTTATTCCTGCTGCTGCTGCTGCTGCTTTATTCCTGCTGCTGCTGCTGCTTTTGAACTTTGCTGCAGGCCCCTTGACAATATGGCTGAAGCAGTAAGCGCGGTGCTGCCCCGGCTGCTGCTGTTGCTGCTGTTGCTGCTGCTGCTGCTGCTGCTTTTACATTTGCTGCTGCGAACGACGAGTGCTGTTGGGATGCTGCAAAGGAAAGGCCTAGGGTTTAGGGTTTAGGGTTTAGGGTTTAGGGTTTAGGGCGTTCAGGTCGACGGAAAGGCCGCTGTGGCCACCAAGGCGGAGCTGCAGGCAGCTGCGAAGACACTTGGAATGGGGTACACATTCAGTGCTGCTGCTGCTGTTGCTGCTGCTGCTGCTGCTGCTGCTGTTGCTGCTGCTGCTGCTGTGCAGGTATTCTTTGTTTGTGGCTGTTGCTATTTTCAGAACTTCAGCTTTCAGGGGTTTGCCCAAGGACGACGAAGCCGCTTATTGCAAAGTCAGTTCAAGGGTTTGGGGTTTAGGTCTAGGGTTTAGGGTTTAGGGTTTAGATTTAGGGTTTAGGGTTTAGATTTAGGGTTTAGGGTTTAGGGTTTGGGACGTGAACCTCGGGCAAAGCTTTCAGCGCTGCAGCTTCCGTTAGGCTTTACCGTTTAGAGCTGACAGCGAAAGTTTAGGATTTAGGGTTTAGGGTTTAGGGTTTGGGATTTAGGGTTTAGGGTTTAGGGTTTGGGGTTTAGGGTTTAGGGTTTAGGGTTTGTTAACTTGTGCAGGAGCTCCAGTCCCGCGTGCTCAAGTTCATAGAAAATGCCTCTGGGGAGCATTATGAGTCTTTGCCGTCGGCAGAAACAGTCAGGCTGCTGCTGTTGCTGCTGCTGTTGCTGCTGCTGTTGCTGCTGCTGCTGCTGCTGCTCTTGCTGTTGCTGCTGCTGCTGCTGCTCCCTCTTTGCTTTTGTTTCCGGCTGGTCCCGTGCCTTCGTGTTCCGCTTGAGTCACCTTGCAGGCAAGAGGCTGAGGGTCTGGGTTTTAGGGTTTAGGGTTTAGGGTTTAGGGTTTAGGGTTTAGGGTTTGGGGTTTGTGTGTGCAGCTGGCGGAGGTGAAGAAGGCGGCTGAGGCGAAGAAGGAACTTTCTTCTTTAGACCCTTCGAATATTATTGTGAGTACTTGCTGGTTCATACGGAAGGGTTTAGGGTTTAGGGTTTAGGGTTTAGGGTTTGGGGTTTAGGGTTTAGGGTTTGCGCTGCTGTGTGCTGCTGCAGCAAGGGAGGCCCAAGCGCCGCGCCGCCTCTTCTGCTGCGGTAAGTAGAGCAGCAGCAACTTGGACCTAAACCCTAAACCCTAAACACCAGGCAGTGCGTAGCAGCGCAGTGACTGCAGAGACTCAGGGTCTAGGGTTTAGGGTTTAGGGTTTAGGGTTTAGGGTTTTGCAGGAAGCAATAAAACGGGACATACAGCGAGACCTGGAGCGAGAAGCAGCACAGGCCTCTTCGGAGCCGCAGCCGAAGAAGCCCAAGACGGACGAAGCAGCAGCAGCTGCTGCTGCCAGCAGCAGCAGCAGCAGCAGCAGCAGCAGCAGCG